TAGGCCAGCAGTAACAGCCTGGTTGATCAGGCCCTGATCCCGGAGGCCTGGTCGTGGACCGGGCCGCGGGGGCGTTGATCCCCGGAATACCCCCCAGGCAGACCCTCAGGTAGCGGTATTTTCCATTAAATATCTGGAGCATGATTCGTCTAAATGGCTTCAAATTTTAATGGCTGCTCAATGATATGAAATAAATTACTTTTTTTTTTTAGGGTTAAGGCTTCGTAGGAGCAAATTTATTTTTCTAACCTAGTTAATTAACTTGAAATTGTTGGGTTCTGCGTAATACCTGAATAATAAAGCTTCTGGTCAACTTTAAGCTTTAAATGCTGATCTGTTTTCTCAAAGGAAGTTTTCTTTATTTCATTGAACAGTGTTATTTGAAATAACCGGAGAATGTCTATCAGATCAGAAGTCAGTGATTGGCTTTACTGAATGATCCTAGATTAAGTCTTCATAATATAGTTTTTATGTACCCATAACATCTGCGTGCTCTCAAGGCTATTGTAATACATTTGTATATTATATATCCAAAGACTAAATGAAAGTTACTAAACTTTAATTGCTGGTCAGTCTTAGAGAAAAACTGGAGTGACTTTGGTCAGTGTAGGTCTAGAATTGTCTTCAAATCTTCAACTCGATAACTCGATGACGCAACTTGCGAGTTGGTTCAAACTTGGTGTGTTATGAGATATTGGTTTGTGCGAGATAATTACAGAATGCCTCTTCAGTTTGGCTTTAAACTTTTAAGATTGGTCTCTCTTGGTGGGAAGTTTGGATTTGTGTTGGGCTGTATGTCCTAATTTGTAAAGTTATATTAAAGAAATTGGGATGTTAGTTTCCATGTGATAACTTGTGAATGTTTCCCCCCCCCCCGTTTCCCTTAAAATATTCAACGCTGATATTTAACTACATCACAAAACACAAATGACCCGTACATAGGAGAGAAGAGCTTACGACGACGTTTCGGTCAGACTTTTATCATTTACAAAGTGACACTAACAGCAAGGAGAGAAGGGTACAGTACCTATTTAGGTATCATTAAATGGTCCAAGTCGGACCGAAACGTCGTCGTAAGCTTCTTTCTCCTATGTGCGGGTTATTTGAGTATTGTTCCAGTCACGGTATTGTGCCTTTTTGTTATTTACACCACAAATGTCCCATGGCTCTGTTGGCAGCGCTCTCAGCTCACATACTGAGGGTCCGTGGTTTGTTAGATTCTCTTACGCGTGAAAACGTTGGGTAAGGTTCCTTACACCTGCTGCCCCTGTTCACCTAGCAATAAGTAGGTACTTGGGTGTTACTCGACTGTTGCGGGTGGCATCCCTGGGGTGGTATATACCTTACATAGGGCTGGGCTATGTAATGAGCTGAAATGAGCAGAGCAGATCTTAGCCTGTAAAATGTATTTGTGTAAGAAATATAAAGTATGCCACACGCTGCACTGTGACTTTCAAATGCACTGAGGTAGTGGGAACTGGAGCTACACAACAATCAAAATACATCAGGTTATTATCACAGAAAGAGCTAATGCCGTATGGGTTGTTCAGAGGTGTATGAGAGGAGGGAGGCTGAGATCATAGGTTGAAGAGCAACGGCGTTTAGGCTGGTCAGAGGAGCAAGGGGCAGAAGTGACCCTTCGTGAAGGGAAAATCAATTTCGGTTAAAAAGTTATAGAATCTGCATTAAAGACGGGATAGCCAGAGAGGCGGGCGGTGAGAGTAAGCTTGTCAGAGGCGCTGTAGGAAAGGTGGGCGATAAAATGGGTGTTCCTCCCTGTTAGATGGCCATCCGTGGGTCTGGTGTGACCAGCAGCCCACGTTATCACTGCATTCACGGCTAAGCGCTGAACCTGGGAATGGGAGGCAAGTAGGTTCGATGCGAGTCCTTCACCTATATCAAGGTACCTTGAAGAGAGTAATTGGGTATTACTACAATATTGGTATACAAAACGGATAAGATGAACTGGACACGTGCAACATCTGGTTATTTCTATTTGATGAGGTGTACCAACCAGTGGCCTTTTTCGGTTCTATTCAGTGATATACGAAAACAGTGGAAGATGTGGTAATCCGTTCCTCAGCCGTGTTGAACAATACTCGGAAGAGTGTTAGATGAGGTAATCCGTTCAGTACCTAAATCTTCGTGAATCTGAAGCCTAGGCAGGAAATAGTCAAATAAGGTGTAGCATCTGACGTCACGCTACTGACTGGTCTTCAGATAAAGATACCCAGGTGTTGCCCATGTGGTTAATTCATCAAGTTATTGGGAACGCACAAAACACCTCGCTTTGTACTCCCAGAGGTGCAGGAGATAAACATATATATAAACCTTGAAAATATTAGTTTTGTCTGTATACTACTACCTGCCTATGTATATACAGCCATGCATGTATGCATCTACACATGCATACGTCAGCCCTGAAGCTGGTAAAGGGCTCTTGATCCATCTAGTGGGAGCTTCCCTCCCCTTCTATGGATGAAAGCGGATTTCCTCCCGTTTCCTAGGCGTTATACAACCCCAGCTGGTTTAGCGCCTCCTCATAAACATATTTAAACATCACTATGTTGTTAACATGTGTTGAGTTTAAGACAAGAAAAAATAACAGATTTTTCACTTACATTTATTCCACATAGCAGATAGAAATATTGCTAACAAATGAAATATTGCTAACAACAGAAATATAGCTAACAATAAAAAAATCTAACAATAACAGAGAAATATACAAATCATAGTTATGGAGCATTGAAAAGCTGGTTACACTATATTCGTAATTAATATATTATATCAAGAAGTACAGTAACGACTTAAAATAGTGGTTTGTATATACAAATTATACAATATTACAGTTGAGAAGTGTGTGTCAGACACTATGGTGTGGTATACACCCCACTGAAGATAAGGGAGACTTTGTTTGGGTTAATAATCCAAGATAACCTCAGAAGGTTGCTAACATACGATAACCCAAGAAAGCCAAGCTGTGTGGCTCATTTCCCGTTAGGGTCCTTTAGGTTTTCTCCTACTCCACTAACTCCTAAGTACCTATTTACTGTTAGGTGAACAGGGCCAGCGGGTATAAGAAAATCTGTCCTATCGCCTCAACTTGTATTTGAATTGAATCCAAGTTATATCGGTTTTGAGCCAAGTATTTAACACTGAGGTACGAGTCACCTTTGGTTCACACTGTCTCTGGTGGTGTGGGATATACACTGTATCTGATGCTTGACCAGGTGTCCAGTATATCTCAAATTGTAGACAGCCTTTACACTGACACATTATACACGTAATTCTCATTTCATTACACAGCTTCACCTACTTATAACAAAAATTTCAAATCTTTAACACAGAATGTCCACATCAGTAACACAGGAGACACACATCAGGGAGAGCAGGAACAGCACTATATACAACCAGACACAAATGCCTACCCTTTTTGACATATTACAGCGTATAGCCTCAGCAGGATAGCTGTTATGACGATCACCCCTAGAGCAAGACAACCATTGTCACACACTCTTTTCAGGTTCCATCATTGTTCTCTTCATCCTTCTGAAAACCTAAATAACGTGAGTCTGTATACCAAGAGTTTTCAAGAAGGGACAGATAAAATTTCGTAATAGCTATGGAAGATGTCTGTGAAACGAGAATAAAATAATCGTTGTTTAACTGGCAGCTCTCATCAAGACCTCTACCACTAGGAATATTATATCAACTCCAGAGTTTTATTTAGAAACAGTGTGTGACAACATTAGGAAACTCCAGAGAAACCAGAATACATAACTAGATGTATACATAACTGGATGTATACAATGCTGAGCACGTCCATCCTGTCAGCTGGAGATATGATTCATCCTCACAACTCATCCTCATGTCTCATACTGCTACTACTCACACACCCACCGCCACACACTCACACCACCACCGCCACACACTCACACCACCACCACCACACACTACCACACATCCACCACACACACACCACCACACACACACCACCACTCTCACATACCACCACTCTCACATACCACCACTCTCACATACCACCACTCTCACATACCACCACTCTCACATACCACCATCTTTACATTTACGTACATACTGACGTGGCTTTCAGATCTTCGCATATAGACCACAGCTGTTCCCATATGAAGTTTATAATCACTTTCTCCACATTTTCAAACAATTTGTGTTAGCAACAAAAAAACACAGAACTATGAAGATGATTTTATAATCATACCTAATTCCGCAGTTTAGAGTGCCTGGGAGCTGTCTATATTATGCTGTCTGGCAGTTGTGTGTAAGGCAGACTCTGACAGCTGTTTGGTCTTGCGTGGTTCATTCGTGACCTAAAGTCATTAAGCCTATTGTCTGAAACAAACACGTGTGTGTATACTGACACTTGTAACCTTCTTGATAATTTCTTATTTTGTACACTGCACATATGCCATAATTCTAAGAGAACAAAAATTTATGTATATTAAGGATGGGAATATACCAGAAGTTCTGCCGATAACGATGCCGATACTGATTCCTAATTTGACTACGTTCAATACGTTAAATAACTCGGGAAGGTTAAATATTGTATAAATTTCTCTGAACTGATAATTTTATTACCTGGCCTGTTGTTAGTTACTGGTTGTCAAAGGCACTTGTCGATAGTGTGTACTTGTGTGTGTGTGTGTGTGTGTGTGTGTGTGTGTGTGTGTGTGTGTGTGTGTGTGTGTGTGTGTGTGTGTGTGTGTGTGTGTGTGGTGTGTGACTCTTACAATCGTAAGGTAGTGTTAATGTTGATATTTTTAAGCACGTGTAATATTAATATTTTAAATAGTATCGGCTGGTATCGGCCGTTTTTTCACAGATACTGATACCGTAATAAATGGCCGATACTCATATTTTGGCACATCCCTTTATATATATATATATATATATATATATATATATATATATATATATATATATATATATATATATATATATATATATATATATATAATATATATATACACATATGCACACACACACACAATAACAACACTGCGACTAGCCGGGGGATCGAACATTCCACTCCCCAAACGGGGAGTAGAATGAAATTAGCTCTGAGGCACCCACACCATCGTATGTCCTCAGATCACGGTACAACACCTAGCTCTGCTGGGTGCGTGATTCTTGTAGGATTGTATGGTCCAGTAGGTTAGAGCGTCGTTAATTCTCGCGCACCATGAGGAGGGCTAAAACAACACGGGTTCGATCCCCCGGCTAGTCGCAGTATTGTTGATTAAATACCATTGTTCTTTGAAAATTGTAACAAATAGACAAATTGACAAAAATATATTAATGTGACTTATGCGATTTTTTGCCATTTTTTCATTTATATTAAAACTGACCTTTCATTAAAATTGACCTTCAAGCTGGGTTCCTTGATGCTGGTGAAGGGCTCTTGATCCAAGGAAAAGCAGCTACTGCGACTTTTCCTGGATCGGGAAACCTGATTGCCTTCTGTTCCCCTGGCTCTGGATGACCCATGCGGGTGTACCGCTTGCTATGAACGTAATAATTTACTAAAATGATCGCAAAGGAATAAGAGCAAAGAAAAATGCGCAATAAAGTAAATAACGATGACTCATCTTTGTTTAAAATTATTTCGAAGGAATTTTATTGTTTAATTTCATGTGCCAGTTAATTTTCCCTGTGTTAATTATCACTGTGAAGTGCTAAACCCGTAGGATCGTGCACTGCCGGGAGAATTGGAGGTCACTGTGTTCGATCTGAGGAACGGGAGGGTAGCTCCATATCCTAGGATGAAGAGCTCTTGATCAGCACAAAAGAAGAGTTTCTGAGGTGTTGATCAACAGTCCTGACAGAGATATTTTGAAACTCGACTCTAATTTGGTAACACGTTCATTGCCAGCTCGGCGATAAACCTCATAATTGCTACAAGGAAACTCTGTATATACATTATGAATGTTACATAGAGTACTGGGTATTGGCTACACTGCTGTGTCTATATGGCATCACTGTGCTGGTCTGTTTTAAGGAACCATCTTTAATACTTGTATATTGATATGGTTGATTACTGGTTGATTCAGTCTGGATTATTTCCCGCGTGTTTTGTGTGTATGTATGTATGACTGTGCTTGTATGTCAACATCTACACAGTACACAAGAGTACTGGATATATAAGAGCCTTGAGTTATTGTCACTATCGATAAGGAACGGCAATGCCTTGAACCAGTGCCACGTAAGAGAGGGCCACAGGGGTTGGGGCTGATGCGTGGGTCATACCTCGCCCTTGTTAAGTAAACTCACACACGAATGAGGTTCCAAACCTTTATATATTTACCATCGCTGTCCTCCAGCACATTTTCGACTACTTATAGCATCATTATTTTGTTTGTGACACCTTATACTGCCTGTTTAGCGGCTCTACCATATAAAGCAAATCCTATGTTACCATTGTATCTTACATGGGTCTGCATTTTATATAAGATATTCTTGAGGAGTAAAATATATTTTGCCTTATAAGTAAATTATATATTTATACATTGGAAAATCGAAGCAGTATTTAATTTATCTTTGGAAATTATTTGTGGTTATGCCTAGTGAGAAAGGGGAGTATAAATAATTATAACTGTGATGGACTGTATATGTGTAAATACATTTTTGTAGTGTTGATAGGGAGACTTGAGTCACCCTCGTGTGTGTCTACTCGGTTTTTTTTTTTTGTTACCTTAAGTTAAATATGAAGGCTGGTGATCACAGTCACGCCTCTGTGGCCGCTTCAGTGACTCGCTTCATCCTGGGTGTATCTTCTGTGTCTGTAAGAGGTGTTCGCTTTTCCGATCGCAGTTGGGACAAGTACCCAGAGGGCTGGGTGAGACTAGCCTCTTCCGTAGCTTCTGCTAGCCTCTTGATGAAGAATACGGGCCTCCCTACCGACCGCTCTGGTCGAGTGAGCCCAGTTGCTGAAGCTAAAGGCACAGCATCTTCGGGCTCTGGCTGATGAAGCCCTCCCTGTTGCAGGAGGGATTTGACCCGTGACAGACGGTCCTGCAAGAAACGTGAGAAAGACGTAGCACTTGCCAGAGCATCTGGCATCTCCTCGACAGGCAAGGGAGTGGGATCTGGGAGCATGAGTGCGGGTCTCGCACTGTCCTCCGACTTGTCGTCTTCACCAAAGGCCAGCTCAGGAATGCTGTACTGATCGTCAGTATAATAGTACTCATACTCACCTGCTGTTTCATTCGCTGGTACAAGATCTTCATTTGTTGTAGGGGCATTAGGGTGCGTAGTTGTGGTTTCATCTAGGGTGCTATCAGGCGTAGCTGTAGTTTCAACAGAGGTGCTAGGAGGCGAAGTTGTGGTTTCAAAGAGGGTGGCAGGAGGCGAAGTTGTGGTTTCAATAAGGGTGGTAGGAGGCGAAGTTGTGGTTTCAATAAGGGTGCTAGGAAGCACAGTTGTGGTTTTAACAGAGGTGCTAGGAGGCATAGTTGTGGTTTCAACTGGTGTATTAGATAGTATAGTTGTTTCAACAGGAGTGCTGGGAGGGGTAGTCGTCATTTTATCAGTGGGGATTGAAGTGGTTCTGTTTTGCTCTATTGGAAAAGATGGAGTGCGACTGGTAGGCTGGGGAACAGAAGTGGTAGCTGCAGCAGATGACGTAGGTGGATTTGTAACTGAAGTTGTTGTGGGAGAAGTATCCAGAATGGTGAATGAAGAGGTGAAAGGAATCGTGGTACCAGTGGGCGAAGTAGAAGTAGATGCTGTTGCAGGTATTTCATTAGTAGTTGCATTACGGGTAAAAGGAACAGGACTACTTGCTCTGGGCTCTAAAGTTGAAAGGACAAAAAGCTCCCTGTAGTCTGGGTTTCCCAACTTTTTGTCTTCGGCAGAATTTATGCCAAAGACTCTGACCTTAGAATGACCTTGATGAATAATATATAGTGGCCAAGAGGCTTCAGGGGTTCTTCTAGAAGACTGTCCAGGATAAATAATCTCCAGACCTTTGAAAGTTTCTTTAGGCTCAGAGCTTTCTTGAAAAACGTGAGAATTTGTGCTTGTTTGAACACTAACTCTTGAAGTTTCCTTAGTTACTCCTTTAGTGGTTACCTCGTCCTTAACCTTAGTGGTTACCACATTCGGGCGAACCTGTGGATGGGCGTACTCTGGACTGGCTTCAGAATCTGAGAAGAGGTATCCGTCCAAGGAGTTCGTGTCAGCCACAGCGTCAAAGTCCCCACCCTGGGTCTTCTTCGTGTCTTCTGCTTCTGTTGTTGTATCGTTGTATCTTGGGGTTGTAGAAGTTTGAAAGTTCTTGCTATGGATATTACTACGATGGGTTGTTGACTGTGTCGAGGAAGTAACCGTGGTGGTAGTTGTAATAGGAGGCTCCTCTGTGGGCCGTGTGTAGCGGAATTCTCGTGGTATAGTAACTGGTTCGTCTGTTGCGTCTTCGCTGTCTGGTCCATCTGTGACCTGAGTGAATCGGAATATTTGGAGGAGTTCGGAGAGGCTGTTGGCTGTTAGGGTGGGCTTGTAAGAGTTCATGTGATCATCAAGGTGTGGGTTGTGGATGTGTTCGCTCGCCGTCTTGTCCCCTTCCTTGGAAACATAAGAAATAGGACCGAGAGGTTTGTAGTGGATTTTATCATCTGAGCGAGTCTCTGGATGGATGTAAGATGCAATAGATGGCTCGCGTTTCCTGTCTGATACTTCCGATCTTGTGTCTATAAGGAACCAAGGACGTGAGAAGGTCTGAGTGAAGTTCCCAGCAGCTTGTCTTACTTGTGTTCCTCTAGGGTGTGAGCGTGTGTTGTTTAGTGATTGGCGCTGCTTGTTGCTTCCTCGGGAGGAGTATCGGAAATCGGGTGGAGGAATTTTTCGGATAAAAGATACTCCAGCAGAGTCTGTCGCTGATCCAACGTATGGTATCTCTTCAATCTGAGTCTCCTGAGGAAGGTTGCCGAGTAACTCGTGTAGGGCTGGTCTGGTGGTTTTCAATTCCTGATCTCTTTGCTGATTAGGTCGTCTGTCTCTGGTAGGTGGATCAGGTCTATATCGATAACTGTGAGCGTTTTGTTGTTTACTAGATCCAGGGATGCGATCCCTGCGGCTGAAGGGAAGGACGTGACTTGGTCTCTCTACAATAGTTGAACGAATTTCTGAGTAGGCGCCTTCCATATCGTAGTCGTTATCGGCATCCAAGCGTGGAGACTCTTCTGGAAATCGAGAACTTCCATTGGCATCAAATGCATCTAACTTATCCGCAAACCCAGCATCCTTAGCAGGAACATCCTGATAACTGAAATCAATATTTAAATGTGTATCGTTCCCGTGCTTCTTGGAGGAATCCTCTAAAGTGTCAGCGTCTGATGTAGACCTTGAACTTGGCCTCAAGTCTCCGAACTGCGGAGCTGGGACAAAACGTATTGCGCCTACACTTTGTGAGGGGGCTCGGAAAGCCCTAACTATGTTAGTCTGAGGATGGACGTGAAAATACTCGATGTTTTCAGTTCCATAAACAGAATGATACTCAGGGTGGCGCGGCTCTGCCCTCACTACAAACACGGTCGGATTTTCGGGTCGGACTGGATACAAAGGTTTCTTTGGAACGGGTTCGTTACTAAAGTGGACCCTCTGGAGAGGAGGAGGTTGGTACCCAACTGTAGGGTCATCTGCCATAGGATTGCTAACATCCATGGGGTACCATCCATCGAACTGCAGACTCCTTTTATATCTTGTGAAGCGCTTTGCGTTGACGATAGGAACACCTCGCTCGCCTGGAATAGTAATGTCAATATAGTACATAGGAGAGCCCTGAGAGTCAGGCTGACTACGCTGACTTTGACTGGCAAACGATGGCCTACTCTGAATATCAGACACTGGTCTATTTTGAATGGAAAACGATGGCCTACTATGAATGTCAGACGTTGGTCTATTTTGCCTGGCAAACAATGGCCTATTCTGAACTGGAGGTAAAGATTCCGAGGTGGCTGAAGGCATATTAACAGGGACAAAGTAAATCTGATTTGGATTTGATTTCTCAGGAGGAAATTGTCTAGAAAATTTTGGTACATGTTTGTTTCTCAGTAATGACACTGGAAGCTCAACTGGAATATGCTCATTGTTTGCATCTATATGGTCATTTTCCAAATTGGGTTGTAAATTATTCAATGATCTCCATTCGACTGGTAAATTATACCTTAATGCAGTGTTAGTATTCACCAAAGGCTGCATGCGAAAAATATCATGTGAGTTTACGCTCATAGGTCTAGCTGGAGTTAAGTCCTGAGAGTTAGTACCATCAAAGCTGAGCCCCTCTGGGTTAGTGTGGACCTCGAAATCCTCAGGGTTAGTATCAAAAGCGAGCTCATGTAGGCGCTGGTCCTCAGAGAAGATGTCACCCACACCGGGAGGGAAGGGAGGGTACTGTGGATAAAATATTTCTAGATGGTCTATAGGAGCAGAGGAGGAGAGAGGGGAAAGAAGAGGAGAAGGCGGTGAAGAAATGAGAGCAGGAGGAAGTGGTGAAGAAATGTGAGAAGTGGGAAGATTCGCTGGGGGAGACGAAGTGTTTTTTCCAGAGCTTCCGCCAATACTGATGTCCCCGTTGGCTTTCATGTTTATTTCCAGAATAGTCAAATTCTGCATCTCTTCAGGGACGTGAATGTTAATGATTCTTGTGTATTTATTCTGAGGTTTAAGCTCGTGGACTACATCTGGAGTGGAAGAGTCGTTAGGACCAGATATTGCTTCACTGTAAGGTTGAGAAAGAGTGTGAGGGTTGCCAGTACTAAGGTGAGGGGCTGGACTGCCGTCACCCATGACAGAAATCGGTTTAGGAGGACCGAAATTTACGGTTTGTAAAGGATCTGAGTTAGAGTCTGTAAGCGGTCTTCTCGTAGATTGAAACACACTCTTAAAGGCCTCGGCAGTAGAATCGCTAGGGTGAAACTGATTGTGCGTGCCTCTAGTTAATCTCTCATCAACGCTTTCAATGTGTTTCGGACCTGCTGCAACAACATCCATGCCATTACCAGCATATCTACTGCCACCACCAATAGCGTGTCTTTCCCCACCACCGCTGCTACTAAAGCCACCACCTCCAGAGTTGAAAAAATTGGGACTCCCTCTAAAATTGGATGGCCTGGGAGCATTCCTCATGATTATGCCTTGCAAGGGTTGTAACCTTTGCTGCATCACCTGCCGGACACCATTCAGACCACCCAACAAATATGGCACTGGATTGAGAGCGTTCAAGGTTTGAGTAAACATGTTTCTACCACCACCAGGCACGCCCTGCCTCGCCCATTTCTCCACACGTCGTGGGGCTCTACCTTCTGCCTTAACACTCGTATCTCCTACTGCTGACGTCCCTTGCAAGTCTTCGTGGGTTGCGTCAGACAAAGCAGGTCGCTCCGCAGCTGATTCTGGAAGCAGTTTCTTCGTCTGCGTCGCCGTTACCAGCACCGACAGCACTAAGACCCACGACAACTTCATCTGTAAAAACACGATTCAATTAATATTCTGTCAGACTGAAAGTCTCCACAAACTACATCAAAATATTAATTAAATGGACACTGGTGACAATGGCAATGTTTATTTCCTTGTAAAGTTTACAATGTGTGGTTTACACGTTATAAAATATTAATTACAAAGAAGGCCACTAGTACGCCTAAGCATTTCGGGCAGACTAATACGAATTCTTACTCTATATTGATATAGGTTATGGAGCAGTACATTTAAACCAACCTGGCATTTTATTGTGGCCTGGTGGCTAAAGCTCCCGCTTCACACACGGAGGGCCCGGGTTCGATTCCCGGCGGGTGGAAACATTCCGACACGTTTCCTTACACCTGTTGTCCTGTTCACCTAGCAGCAAATAGGTACCTGGGTGTTAGTCGACTGGTGTGGGTCTCATCCTGGGGGACAAGATTAAGGACCCCAATGGAAATAAGTTAGACAGTCCTCGATGACGCACTGACTTTCTTGGGTTATCCTGGGTGGCTAACCCTCCGGGGTTAAAAATCCGAACGAAATCTTAATCTTAACGTTTCTTTCTCCAAGAGCCGTTGCATCTGGGTTCATATACCTAACATTTTGCCGGTAGTTCTATCATTATTACTACATCAAAACAACAAAGGCATCATGTATGTGTTAAACTCACAATTAGCATCTTGTACAATTGTTTTAGAACCATTTTAAATATTTCATAGCAGCATCTCACTGCGTCTTCCGCTTTTTGTGTGTATTATTATTATTGCTACCATCATCAACGCGTTGTGTAGGAAAAAAGCACGAACTAACTGTTTACTTAAAACACCCTTCACACGGACAATTTTCTTTGTATCACTTTAGTTTTCTTTTGCGATCGCACAGGATAGACTCAAACATTTTTACACAAGAGACGGTAACAGGTTTTAAAAAGGAAAATGTATATACACGCCTGCAGAGAAAATAACAATAAACAACGAGGGGTTAACATAGTCATGGACAATTGATGGTTTTGAATACTATGAGCTCTGTTTTTTCCTTGGTGGCTAACCCTCTGGGTTAAAAATCCAAACAAATCTTATCTTATTTATTCGGCTTTTTGACCCGGGGGAGGGTTAGCCACCCTGTCTTATTTTCATTGTGGTCCTTCAATCTTGTCCGCCAGGATACGACCCATACCAGTCGACTAATACCCTTACACTTTCTGTCCCTGGATGAACAGGGATAGAAAGTGTAAGTAAACATGCCCAACATTTCCACCCATGCCGGGATTTGAACCACTTCCACTAAGTGTGTGAGGCGAGTGTTGCCAACCGAGCCACGGGAACCCCCAAAGAATCATATAAAGTAACATTTTTCCAATGGGATCCTTGTATTGTATAACTTTTAAATGAAGTTAAAATCAGCTATGATCATCGACAATAAAAAATAAACATGGCAAAACACTTATATGAAAGTGAATTACACGATCATTAAAGTAAAAAAAAAAATCCCAAGCCTAAAGCATGGGCAGGAGGCCTATGTTTTAGGCTTGAGAGACTGACCACCTCCTTCCGAGGATGACGGACTGATCACGTAAATACTGTTTCTACTGCTCCCAGTGCTGCTTTCACTTGTATCCTAGTGAAGAAACCTGTTGTGTAGGCGAAACATTTCGGCAATAAAGATACCTAGATGTAGCAAATGTCTTTTTTGTCAACCTGTCTATATTGTATGCTATCAGTATTATATATGTGGGACTGATGCCTCAATGACTAATGTTTTGAAAGCAGTTACATACTAAGTGTGGTGACTGAGAACAGTGCTATCCAGGTGGGTTCATTAATTAGTTAACTACAATTATTTAAATCTAGACTGTGTTTATATTTACTACATAACCCATGGTTTTATTGCTGAAACCCGATATTGAAGTTAGCAGGTATTATCTCATAATTGCGCCCAGTTGTATAAATTACTCTCGTAAAGTGTTCAAAGGACTAAATATAAGGGAGAGGGCGGTGCCGGTGAACACTTCCAGCTAGTATGGGTTTGGTCTTAGACAGCAACACTTCTAGCCATAGATTTTCTAGATTATCAGACAAGTCGGGTCTTGGGTTGTAAACTAAATAAATTTTTTATAAGCACATACTCCACCCCCTTGTCCATTGTTTCTAAACATTTTTATGTAGCAATCTTCAATTTTAATTTCATCATTCACTTTGTCATCTAACCAGAATTCATAAATAGAAATTACCGTAAGTTTATTTAGGCTCAGGTCCACATAAGTACAATTAGTATACATTATAACATGCAAAGCAATGACGGGGGGAATTGAATGATAACTCCAGGTCTTTTGTATTGCAATGAACACGTCAGGACCTTGCAATGTTGCAGAAAAGAGGAAGAGATTCAAACATATAGGATATCAGCATACACGCTTCCTCTGACTGTATTTGCTTGAACCTCATCTTTTCTGCAATATTGCAAGCTCCTGATGCTTTAATTGCAACATGAAAGGCTTAGAGCTACCATTCAAGTCCAAGTGGATGTTTTGTATCTTGTATCGCTTGTTCGCGATTTTTGCATAATAACATATGTTTAAATTACCTACGATAACCCCTAAAAAAAGTCAAAGCTAATTATTTGTTAGAATTCTGACTTTTAACAATTTAGGTAAAAGTGATCTAGAATTAACATGAACAAAGTGAGGACTTCTTTTTTAAACAGTCTAAACCTTCATCACTATATTGCAAGGGTTCGTTGCAGAAAATATTGATCTATTATCTAGGTCAATAACTGGATTAAGGTGCAGTTATTTCAAACTGATGAACACTCTTACTCTGACCAAAAATATATCTGTTGTGGTCCCATCCCTTTAAATCACAGCCCAGCTCTTATATAAATTTTATTTCTGTTGCTAGTGTACGTACTGGTCGTCGGAGCTGGACCTTGACTCAGGAAAATACAGATGGAAATAAGTCACATTAACGTTACTGAGTTGCCTTAAATGTGCACACTTTTTATGTGGCCATAATATCTGAGTGCCCTCAAAACCATTGTAAAGAGTACTATATGTTATGTACCCAAAGCCTCAATATCCTAGGTTCTCTACACATATGCTGCTGTGTATGATAATATATATAATATATGAAACTGTATTTGTGTATACCTGAATAAACTTACAAAAAACTGACTTATTGACATAAAATTTAGAACAGTTTCCGTTAATTTCTAAAAGCAAATTTTCTCGTTTTCTCTAATACATATTTGTAACCATTTTCTATTTTTTTCCGTTTTTCATTGTTAAAGTGTGGACGCCGATATTAGATAAGATATAATGATATAATGTAAATTTATGCAATGCCTTCTGAAAGTATATAATAGTTATATTTAACGCAAATGCAAACCTGGATTATCACTTAGACAGCGCCTAGGGCCTCCGAAAAAAAATTATAGGCCCAAAAATCCCAGATGTGTCGAAAATGAGAAAATTGCTAAAACAAAATTAATAATCTGATTTAATTAAATTATTTGCATTTTTTGTAATGTACAGGTCACATTGAGATGTATACTTTATTTATCTACAGGTCTTTACGGGTCTGATGGCTTGGTAGTGTCCTCAGCTCCCACGCTGAGGATCCTTGCTCGATCACCAGCACGGGTGAAACTTCGGGCATTCTATTTCCTTATACCTGCTGTTCATATTCACCTAGCAACAAGTAGACATTTGGGTGTTAGTCGTCTGTTGTGGGTAGCATCCTGGGGAACAAGATAACCTTTCTATATAGTATGTCACTGATGTCAGCTATGGTCTGTATAAGTTGTATCATGTACTTGTAGAAATGCAGATTATTGTTCTTATTATTTACCTGGAGTTCATTACCTTTGTAAATTGTGAGTTCATTACCTCTGTAACTTGCTCAGCTATCAAAACTTTGGAGTCCAGTCCCTGGACCAATTATGTACCTCTGTAATCTTTTGACTACCGCCCACAGGATGGGTATGGGGTGCATAATAAACATATTAAACTATTATTTTGAATGTCTAGTTTTTTAAAGATACCGTCCTTCTCTCACCGAGGTAGGGTAAGCTTCACCTTCCATATATAGGGAACATATTCGCTCAATATCTGTTTTGCTGCAAGTGTACAGATACCACTGTTCAGACGGCCCTCCGAACTGCAACATCCTCATTAACTAATGGTTATAACTATGACCATAATTTTTAAAGGGGTGGACCGGTAAACCAGTAGAAGGCCTCGGTCAGATGATCAAAAGCTCCAGTGGTGGGTTATATGACTAAAACCCGCGTCAGGACGCGCTTGCCCTGTTTCCTGACATGCCTAACCTAACCTGCAACATCCCATCTCTCCTACAGAGTGGATGCACTGTTTCCCACCTCCAGGACTCCAGTCCGGCTAACCTGTTTCCCCGAATCCCTTCATAAATACTTCCTTGCTCACACTCGAACAGCACGTCAAGACATAAAAACCACATGCCACCATTCTGATCTAATATACTCACCTAAGCCTGCTGGATGCTCAAGCCTCTAGCACTCGAAACCTTTCAACCCCTCCCACCATCCAAATCTTCTTGGGACAATCCCTAACTTTCCTTCCACCTGCGATTTATGCACCCTTTTGGTCATCCAATTTTGCTCCATCCTCTCTAACTGTCCAAACCGCCTCAACAACCCCTCCTCGAGACTATGAATAATATTTTTAATAACCTCACAGTTTATCATCTCCATGTTACAAATTCTCTTCATAATATTTACACTACACATTGCTCTCAAACATGATATCTGCAATGCCTCCGATTTCTTGTTCTCTGCAACGTTTACAACCCATGCTTCAAACCCAAATAACAGTCTTAGCATCACTATACTCTGGTACATTTCTCTCTTGGTTTTCATGGAAAAATTTCATTGTTTTCATACATACTGCCTTAATTATCATCGTGTAGTAGATAGACTTAAAGATCTTGTTAAACTTGCCGGCCGTCACCCACAGAGGTAGGGTGACCCCC